GTAACCACGTTTATCGAAAAACTGGCACATTGACTCTGATTTGTGGTGGAAATCAGAGTCATCACTACATAAACGACGAAGTCTTAGAAACTGAGAAAAAGGAATGGAATTCTTAACGTGAGATGGATGCGAAGACGAATATAACAAGTAATTATGCGAGTCTGTAGGTTTGTAATACACACTAGTGCATAAACCGTTACCTTCAATTGAAACTTTGATGTCTAAAAAGGATAAAGAATTGTCAGAAATTTCCCAGGTATATTTCAGAGCCGGGTGAAAAGAATTGACTGCGGTTATGAATTGAGTGAGCTCCTCTCTGGTAGAGGAGGTAGCGCCGATACAGTCGTCGATGTAGCGACCGTAGAGTTCCGGTTTGGAGCCGTTGTATTGGCTGAAAAATTGGTGTTCGACAAAACCTGCTAAAAGATTGGCATAGCTAGGTCCCATTTTGGTGCCCATGGCGACACCATTGGTTTGTTTGAAGAAGTTGTCCCCGAATGAAAAACAATTGAGTATGAGCACTAGTTCGGCTAAGCGTAGTAGTGTTTCAGATTTAGGTTCCTTAACAGCACGTTGATCAAAGAAATGTTTAAGGGCCAGAAGGCCTTCGCCATTAGGAACGACAGTGTAAAGAGACGTAATATTGTAAGATGAAGTGAATCTTGAGGAAAGTTGCCATTTAACGGAGACTAATACTAAATAATGCAAAGATGATTTTTGCTCCGAGACACCGACTAAAAATTGTAATTTATAGGAATCGTTTACTTGGATATCCTTTCCTTACTGTTGGCTCCTTTGTTCTTTCTGTCTGACTTGTTAGCTGTCCTTATCTCTGTATTTTTTTGTTTCATGATCTATGTAGGCGGCAACAACCACCACTTCAGGAAAGGATACAGTTGGTAAGGAATTTGGGGTATCTTATTCTGTTCCCTTTATTCACTCGTCACTAAGCCGGAGGTTTGGTGTTGGCTGACTTTAAACCTCCCCTCAAACCATTCCTTACTTTAAAGCGCTTCTATTACATGCCATGGTGCATTATGCGCAAACATTTCTGCTGATGTTAGATTTAAAACTCTTGCGATTATTGAACAGTTCTAGTGAAGGTCTTTTTGTAACTTTGTTATTATTTTTCTCTCAACAATCTCGTCCATTATAGGACCCACCTTATCACGAGTTGGAAAATTCAGCTTCACCCGCGAGAAGTTCTGACTACGAACGAATACATACTCTTGAAGACCACACGGATCCTCAATTGATAAACCGAGATAGGGATGACTCAAACTTTTGTGCTTTAGTAAGGGCTGATTTATATAGTTCAACTTTGTCGCATTCGACTAGCTAGCGACAGGCATACGACACAACTGACTTAGGATCATTTACACGCGCACGACATTCTCCCCTACGACATTTGAAAATCGCATACAATTCAACTCCTCCTTAAACATATTCTTTTTGGCGGCTATCGAACAGGACTTCTTTACTTCACAGTGAAATTAAGTTCTCTGTCTCATCTTCTCAGTGAAAAAGTTATCTTCGCGTTTGGTTTCGACGACTTACCAACAGCTGCAACATCGTCCGCCATTATGACTCAAGGAAACTTTTCTTTCCTCCCCCCGCTCAGTGGAAATTTCTTTTTAAACACGTCATTTTTACCGATTTCGGCTAAGGTTGTCGCAGCGTTTCAGAACATGTTTTAGAATCCTGGGACTTTTTTTCAGACGTATGCAACAGTCGTAAGCGAGTTGTCGGTTTGATTTACATGAAACAAATTCTTGCCGTATGCCTCAGTGTCGCAAGCTTGTCACATGGGACCAAGTCCTACCGTGTAAATCGGCCGAATGAGAATTTGTCTCATTGATTTGCTTTAAGTGGGGTTTTTAGAAGATACGGTGTAAGGAATTTTTTTTTAAGTTCATAGTCATTACATTTAAATCTTTTTTTTAGTCGCATTCTCATTTACTTCGACAATCTAGCCTAGACTCAAAACTGAAGAGTAAAGATTTATTTCCATTCTTATCAATGCTTATTCGCGCGCGTATCCTCAATGTAAGTCTGTTCCAATTTTTGACGATATTTTCCATGTATTAAACTGAGCAGCACACGTTGAAGAAAAGCCAAGAGAAAGACGAATGCTGTGATAGACACCAAGGCATACATAAAAAGTGAGTGTCCTAGACAAAGTTTCCAAAAATTCTCAAGCACCAAAGAAAAAAAGGAGAAAAACAAGTTATAGTGATAATGACTACGAATTGGTTTCCACTTGGAGCACTTAGAAAAATAATTTTTTAAATATATAAAGGGAAGGTGTACAGTTTTTACGTGTTGCTTTTTAATCTTAAAACTGGTGAACTCAAGTTTTCCAGTAAGCAAATTACCAAAGGAATCTATAGTATACGGTCATTGACGCATTACTCTACATAGGATTTGTCTGTCTGTCTTGAAATGAAATTTAAGACTTTCAGTTATTTAAAACCAAAATGGTCGGTTTTTATCTAATTTAACCTCAATTATCTTTGCGATGTAAAAAAAAAAAAAAAAAGAGACAAAGTAAAGATTTCGAGAAATGTACACGAAATAGGGCTGCTTTAAATGCCCAATATTCCGGTGCCCCATGCGGAAAGAAGACGAATTAAATGCTTAGGATTAGTTTTTAAAAACTTGGCTTTTGAATTTTCCGCCTCGACGGTTTGTTACTCATGCAATAAATTATATGTGGATTATGTAGTGAATGGTGGGACTTTTTATCATGGAGGTGTTGGACAAACTCATGTCAAATGAATGTCACTTTACCAATGTCACTTTACGGATGGTGCAATTTAGTCTGTCAGTAAATGACGGATTTTTCAAACAACAGTTTCAATTTTTATAAAAGGGTTCGCTGACAAAGTTAACGTGGGAACAGAAACATCACTCATTAAAGTGAACTTTTAATCTTTTGTCCCGGAATTTAGAGTTAGGCTATTAATTGTACTGATGGTGACATTTAGACTGCTTGTATTCTCAGGCGACGAGATCGATTGTTTACGTGTCGCTATTTAAAGTACTTTGTTTGCGGTTTATTTGGGTGGTGTGAGTGTGATGCGCTGCCATTGATGTTCATTGCGGTTGCTAGACGAGTTACTAATCGGCTGTCGTGCTTTTTGGCTCTAAGCATCCATGCTTCAGCACTTTCGATTCCGCCGTCTGTATTGAATCTTATTGGGATAAAGTCTTATGTGGATTATTACACTTATGGTAAGAATATTCGTATTTCGTCACTGTTAGTAGTGTCAAATGAAGACATGGTGATGTCGTGATTAGGGAAGTAAAGGAAGGGATTAGGGAACTGCAACAAGAAGGCGAATTCTTGCGTAAACACCTTAAATACGGCAACGCAATTTGTATTATTTATTCTCGTTTTTTTTAGGAGGCTTGAGTTTAGGATTCAGGGTTGTCCGCCTTAAGGCTTTTAAGCGTATGCGTTAGTCGGAGTATTCCATATGTAGGCTTCAACTACGTATTGAGAAACAGTTGAAAACATGAGATGGCCTCCACGTGCCTTCACAAGTTTTACCTTGCTCTCAGGTATGTATGTAGTTCGCGCAAAAATTTATCTGCTTCGAATTGTCGTTGCGATCTTTCTTCACTTCTGGTCGCCGTTTCATGTCGCCTTTTTAGTTTCCCGACTTACGCCCTTTCACGGCTCGATGACATAACAGTCCGCTCCATTTTTGGTTAATTAAATTTCGGAATGGTCCTGAAAACAAACTAGTTGTTGCGGAATATGATGCTTCATGAAGGAATACAGCAGCAGTCGGCCTCATTGCCTAAAGGTCGCAGCAGTGTGCCGTGTAAATATCGCGATCTTCATCGGAAGTAACGACCTAGCGACAAATGCTTACGAACATAAGCGTTTTAAGATGTTCTCTTAAAAGATGTTTCTCTTAAAAGAAAAATCTTTTTTTTTATTTAAATTTTCATCTGTTTAGTTGATTTTTATTTATCATTTTCTTTAGCATTTTGAAATCCTCCAAGTTTGTCATGTTAATGTGAACTCGTTGTGAATAATTTAGTCTTCAGTCATGAAATTTAATTTACATCGGAGGCAGAGGACATGCTCCGAGTTATCTTTAACAATGGACAGTGGTCGACCGGACAAAGGTTAATCGGGATAAAGATATACACGCTTCTCAAGGCACGAAAGCTTCATGACTCACGCACAACGTTTCGTACACAGGCAGCCCAAGCTCACTACCAGAAAAGCGGACGTGACTCTTACCGTGTTGCGCAACGCTTTATATTTATAAAGGTTTGTAAGGGATGTTATCGGTTTGCCTTAAAAGAGAGAAAAAAATGTCTTGTTTGAAAGACATAGCGAACATAGCGCTAACTCGCCGAAAACGCTTCAAAATGGCCTGAGACGCTAGGAATCAACAAAGAAAACAACAAGGTAATAAGGTAAGTCCATTTTATTTAAAAAAAAAGACTTTTTTTCTCTCTTTTAAGGCAAACCGATAACATCCCATACAAACCTTTATAAATATAAAGCGTTGCGCAACATGGTAAGAGTCACGTCCGCTTTTCTGGTTGTGAGCCTGGGCTGCTTGTGTTTCGTATCACGTTTCACAACTCGCTGCGGAGCTTGCATGTTCCTTGGTACACTGCCTCTCCGTAGCCACTAGCCATAGCCCGATGTCTTCAAAACATGATTTTCGCCTGAAATGTTTTCCTCAGATTTTTCTGTTGGAAATTTTATTTTGCTTTTCTCTGCAAATCTATGAGCTGCGAAAAATTAGGGGTGGTCAATAACTAAGAGCGGCTTGTGCGGGCGGATTATTACGTTACTCGTCGTAAACGTGCATCACGGTTCACGCTTAAGCACTCGCACACTTCACAACTCGCACGCAAAGTAATCACGGCTGGAACAGTCCTCTTCTTTCAGCTACTTTATTTCCTTCGCAGATTTCAATTGGTCTGTTTCTTCTCCCCTAATGGTTTCATATAAACCTGGATATGTTAGTTCCGATAAAATCAGCGACTTTATTAATTTTCTGTCTTAAAGAATTACATTTCAATTCAACATTAGTAGGATTTTCTCCTCGAAAACAGACTAGATGCACCGGACAACACTCAGCTGGATTTGCAAATACAGTGCGTTAGGAGAAAAAACGAGAAAATGAAAGTGTTAGAATTTATAATCAAATGAGAGTGGAGTAAATCGTGATACCAAGGCTGCGAAATCATCCTCCTCTTGTCTTTAGCATGAATTGAGTTGTCGACAACTTGTGACACTTCCTTTCCGAAATCTCTTGTCGTTGCCGGAAACGTCTATTAATTTGCATCCTTGGGTACAGTCTACTATCTTTGAAGAACGGACATTTGTCGCCCAGTATGTTTGTGATTCAGCGTGTAACTTCCAAATTTCATATCAAATTCATTAAAGACAAAACCGAACACTGAACTGAACTTGGTTGAACTGACTTTCAATGTTTGGGCAACAAGGACTGACCGCGGACAGTGATAAAGTGAAAAAAAAAAAAAAAAATCACCTCTAAGGATTTAATTGTTGTAAGTTAAACCGTTCGATCTAGAAATGGTTTATAATTTTCGAATGGCAAATCATCAAATTTCGTATTATAGCCAACTAGTGCCTTCAGTAAGAGTTCACAAACTCAATCTGAATCTCTAGATTTCTTGCGAGTAATATTCGGAGCATTTTATCGCGGTTTGGATTTTTAATTTTTTTTCTTGTGGTTCAGGAATGTTGACGTTTCCGCTCGATACGGATTCAGAATGCAGCTTTTCGACAGCAATGTTCACAAAACGATAAACAGAAGTAAAGCAATATTGAATTGAAAGGAAACAGCGACTTGGAAAAAACATTACGATATCCGGGAGTAGAATGTATTTCAGTATCAGTAGTGTCAAATTATCCACCCCTTGAAAAATCGGATCTTATACCTACCTAGAGCCTTTTTGAAATTACGTCTAGTCGTTTTCTTAGATGTGAGATAAAAAATCTATCTATACGATTTAAAATTTTTGATAAGAAATTTATAATAATTTCTTACGAATCTTGTCTTCTTTTGCTGTGAAATTACCTGAGTTCGTTCCGCGCAATAAGGCTTTTGTTGCTAGCCAGGATGTCTTAACTTTGATGTTAATGGTGACATCGTATTTAATATTTCACGCTGCTTTTTAAGCTATTTGCGTAAAATGCCATCGATAAAACCACTCAACGATAAAATGGAAACTTTGCCGGACAATTTTGTTAATCAACGTTTTGTTCTTTGACGCCTACATGGAGGATGTTTTATTTTCCCGCCTTCAATATTAATCTCGTCTTTTTCGGAAAGTCGTTGTTGACCTTGTTGACTCCCTAAAATCAACTTGCCACTGTATTGCAGACAAATCTGAAACCTTGCAAGCATGTTTCGTTCAAAAAGGCATCGGTTCACTCAAGAAAATTCCCGAAAAAAATTGGTTAAAGCCCACAAAACCAACATTGTCATATCGAACTAATTTATATTGGGTTCTGAGGTTAGATGTGTCAGCGGGAATTCCGTAACAAAACACACCGCTAAAAATTGTTATGGTTTCTGGTCAGCAAGCTGTTTTCCAAGCAATACTTATTATACTACAGACCCTCAGAGTTTTGTCAAGCTGATGATGTTTGATATTAGTCATGTAAAACCGTGTAGTTGAAATATTCCTTCACTGGGGCGCCACTGAAAGTGCCTCAGTGACGATTGCCTTCGAAATGGCTTCCTTTCGCCTTCTTTTATTCAAATGTCTAAGGATAATTATCGTTGCTACTCCATTTAGCGTATCACGATCCACCTGATTCACTCGACCACGAAAACATGTTAAAATTTTTCTTGAAAATGTTTCAATTGTGAGCAAAACTATCACGTTGCTGCCTTACTTTTCTTCATCTCGTACAATACAGATCATTCATTTAGCGTTTGAAAAGAATCCATGAATTGTTGACTATTTTTAGCTGAAAAGATCATGAAATTTTGGATTAGGAAACAGCTGTTTGAGAAAAAATTGATGTGTATTTCATCTTCGCGAGAAAGGTTTCGATATTTTCGATGGGTCTTATTACAGATAATCTGGTTTTAGCCCTTCTAACATTGTGATTCCTCAAGATTTAGAATTCAGTTCTTTGGTGTTCAAGAAAAGGATATAAAATACGTGAAAGTATTGCTGACATAGGAAATTAAGAAAAGGAGTGAAAACGAAAAAAAATTTAGGGGAAAAACTGATAAACTGGTGAGTTGAAAGAAAAACTAATCAAAACTGACTTTGATTACGTATTTAATCTTTTTCTTCTCTGTATCCATTCTTTTTCTTTATCCAAACGGGATGCGACTGGCGAATGAAAATGGCCAACGAAAAATGTGTAAAAATTTCGGGGGTTTTTTGATCGTTCGGTCTTCTCTAGTCTAGGTGATTTTCTCAGACTAGAAGATTCTTCTTTCATGTTTAGTTTGTTTGTCTTTGTTTGTTGTTGTTGTTTTTTTTTTACAATGACTCCATCATGATGAAAATAAGACACAGTTGAACACCGTTATTTCAAGTCTTCAGCAGTTTCCTTATGTTAAAATTAGTTTTAATGTGTTCATGAGGATTTCTCGATATTTCTGGTTATCATGACCTCCAGATAAACTCAGGTTTACGCGGTAGAGGATTTTATTACTACGCGGTGTGTTTGTTGTTAAACTTACTACCTTCATTAAATATTCGTTCATTTCAATTTCATTATGAACTTCATAAGATTATCGTCGTAAGTGTGTTCGATTGTACTTTCGGAGGTCGTGACTCTCTTATAATCATCATCACAGAAATGAGTTCAGTTGCTTATTTGTTACAACCCCATCAAGATCGTCGGAAGAAACAAGACTTGAAAAAGCCAAAAGTCTCATCGAAATCAATCTTTCCTGATCAGTAGCCTCTAACGAAGGTAACATTTCATAGTTTTGTAACAATTTATCCTAACATCTGTGAAGCTGAATGCTTTAAAAACTCACCTCAGATATCCAATATTCTATACCATACTGATCACCATTAATCTATCAAATGAAATTCGGCCCAAAAGCTACACCGCCCTCCATAATCGATGTAATTAGAACTAAAACACGGTTTGTGTTGCTTTGATTTATTCAAAAAATGAATTTTACTTGCACAAACATTCTAGCATGCAAAAAAATATAGGTCCTCAGCATAATTTTTTCCAAAATGTAAAAAAAGAAAAATCAATAGTTTAGAAAATATGAAGATATATTTGTAAGAATGGCGCTTTTAAAACGGCTTACCAGAACAAAAGGGAGGAATTTTACTTATTGAAGTTGCTGAAAAAATGAGTGTCTTAATGATGAAAATATTACGAACATTTTTTATCATTCTTTTCGCCTAATAACTGACTTCATCGATTGTAGCGTATTGACCGCAAAATCTAAGGTTCTAAAATGTCCTTTACTTTCATTTTAATCTCGAGTTTTAATTCCAGCTAGTCCCCAATAACATTTACCACCGCTTAGGACAACTAGGTTATCATTTGCGTGCTTTAATGACTTTGGTGTTATTTTATTTGGTCTCCAATCTGTAATGTGTGTTTATAATTGCTGCTAATGGGAGAGCGTTGAACAGGGCACGTAGAGGAGAAATTCTACTTTTGCTCTTTATATACTTTTTTTCTGATTAATTTTTCTTCCCTGAAATAATCTGAGTACGGTGCACAGTTCATCCATTAAAGAAGAACGTACTGAAATCTCCATGCCTCGACGGCTCACGGCGACGCATTGATTATGGAAAGCCAATTGCGGTTTTCATTTGCTTTGTTTTCTGCGTGTGGCCAAAAAACAGCTGAGATTAAGATTATTTAGAGAAAAGGACAAAAGAGTTACTAGTGTTTTTTCTGCGGAGTGTTTTGCTAGCGTAATTGTCATCTTTTGGCCACGACGCCACTGCGTTACACGTCCAGTTTATCTGAATTTCCTATCACTCACGAAAAAAATTACAAGCCCGTGATTCTACATTTAATTTTTTGCCTGCTGTTAAATTGATGCTATCTTTACCGCGCGAATAATTAGGTCCGACAAGAAAAGAAAAGATTGCCGATTAATATCTACCATTTAGCATTTAATATATTCCTTTAAGGGTGAGACGCAATTTCATGGCAAAATCAGCCATGATTAGTTTACAAATACATTATTCATATTTAAGAGAATAAAAGCTCTACGTGTTTACTTTGTTACCATTGTGATTTCTTTTCCTATTAGCAGAGGAATACTTTCCAGCATACAGGATGTAATCAAGTGCATCTTTCAACTGGAAAAACAGACAGTTCCTTTTTAACGTGGAACGTTTGCGTGGGTGTTCGTCAACTTCCTATCAACTTTAGCTCCCATATAATAAAGCCATTCCTTTTTTTCCATTGAAGTCAGAAGGAATAATCTACCTGAAAGCCGGCGGCCTTAATTGTAGCTTCAAGCATGGCTAACGTGAGCGTCCAAAATTTCAGTCAATCATTGCAAGGTGACTGCGGATCGGCGACGTGTGTGTTTTCAAGAGGAGTTCTCACCTTCATAGTGGTTTCTATGTTTTCAGTTGCAGCGATATCCTTGCTGGGAAACATTCCTATCCTGGTCGCCATTCTCTGTTCTACAAAGCGAAGGAATAAGTCGAATTTGTCCACCCTCAGCCTAGCTGTGTCCGATTTGCTCATCACGATATTCTGCATACCGTTTGTCACATTTGATTTGTTCATTCTAGACCACTGGATTTTCGGCCGAGTAATGTGTCGTGTGGTAACTCTTGTGCAGAATACTGCTATGACAGCGTCTGTGTTGAACCTACTGACCATCACCTGCGAGAAGTTCCTGGCTGTTCGGTTCCCATTTAATGTGCGCCTCAGAAAGAAACTTGTTTGCTTTCTTCTGCCTATGGGGTGGATCGTTGCATTGACTGGAGCAGCCTGTTACGCAAGGTTCAAAGAACTTTATAAATTTGATGATAACACCTATATTTGTGGGGAGGACTGGTCGAATGTTATTGCACTGAGAAATACGAATATTGTCATTTTGACGCTTTTTTTCGGTCCTCTATTCCTGATTACTTTATTTCATTCAATTACCATATATACTCTGGTCAAAGGAAAGCGAGACCTTCAATTTCAACTAAACAGAAGTGAGAGGGACTCATTAAGAAAAGTACTGGTCAAGCACAAACGACAAAGGAAGGCTGTAAAGATTATCCTTTTGACTCTGGTATCCATTATTATCTGCTGGGGGCCAATGTATTCTTTCCTCTTGTGCAAAATGATCGTCACATTATCAAACACAAGAGCAATCATCATCGGTTATACGGTCTGTATTTGCTTGCTCTTTAGCCACTGCTCCATTTTTCCTTTGATTTACTTTTTCTTGACTCATAAAGGGAAAGAAACGATTGCCATCTGCACTCTTTGCCTAAAAAACTGCACGCTGCGAGGAACAAGTTCTCGCATGGGATCCATGTTGTTAGACAGCTCTAATTATCACGGAGGCAGTACAAAGATCGTCGGGAGCCTAAGGAATTCCAGTTGGCGAAGGAGTTCTACGCCAGCTTTCACGCCAGGGGCAGAGACACGTTTATAAATAATGCCCGCGAACGTTACAAAGGATCACGTCAAAGGACTGATTTGCCACCAACAGATTATGGTAATCAGCTTCAGCACAGATCGCGACGAAGTTCACCTTAAAACGTAAAAAATTACAGAATCCTAAATTGTAGAATCGTTTCAAAACCCGAGTTTGCTTTCCGATCACAACGAGATACCTTAAGTCCGTTTTCCTTTTTCTTTTTGATAGACTTATTCCTCCATTGGATGATTGTTTTACTTTTTTTTTTCAATTTCAATATCCAAAGAAAGCAAAGACGATCCGTCTCGGAAAGAATACTTTAAGTCCGTAGTCGGTTTTCCTTTTTCTTTTTTGATAGACTTATTTCCACCACTGGGAGATTGTTGAATTTTTTTTTTAAATTTCACTTTCCAAAGAGAGCAAAGACGATCCGTCGCGGCAACTGAAGAAAAGGCAAAGTATCTCTATTCAGTCATAAGCTTTGTAGGATAACTTTAAAGCCTTAAGGGTGCATTTTGTGACACAGTTGGAGACTAAAAGCCCTTAATTTTGTTTGTGACTAGCCTCTTCAACTGAGAATCATTTGCAAAATTGGCAATTTGTATTGTGAAAGGCAACTGAGACAAGAACCAAGGTCAAACTGAAACCATAGATTGCACGCGACACTCTCAGAGATTAATCAATAAGTTTCAAAATTATAGGAATTACCTGTTTATATATATATAGATTTCAACGTGGACATTTTAGCACAGAATTTCAAGTTACCTCCAGCAGGAGGTAACTTGGTCCCTATGGGGTGATAGCTCCTACAGCTAAAGGTTGAAATTTTGGCCATTTTACGGCAAACGGTTAATTTATTTCCGTTGCTAATAAAGGAAAAGAATTACATGGTCAACTTTTTTTTTATGAATTACGGTTTAATTCGGCAATTCTTTATGCTTAACGGCTGAATGTTTTTACCGTTTATGGCTAATGGTTAACCCCATTGAGACCCTAAGTTAGCGCTTTTGTTTTGAACCAGCCATTCTTTTTTCTGATATCAAAGGTTTCTTTTATCATCTGTTCCTATCTTAATCTATCCAAGCTTATTTTTCGATGTCTTGTAGCAAAGATGTACATTACCTTGCACTGTTTAGCATAACTTGACTGCATTACTGACAAAGCTAGAAGCCTCTTCTTGTCAAATAGACCTTTGTCGTTCGCAGATACCAAAAGCAGTTTTTAGCCAACGATAATATCGACGCCAGTGAACACCTTGATTTCTCCTGCGTGTGCAGTATGGATTCGTGATAGTTTTCTTTCCTCCTTTGTTTGAAATAAATTTGATGGAACTTTTCTCACATAACCCCATTGATTGAGGACTTACCTCACATCGAGTTTTCTGTAGACCATCAGAGCACGAAATCGGAAGGCGTGGGACTCGACTGATTATCTTGTGGGACTCAGATTTTCTCTATTTCCCACGCACGTGGCTAAACGAATAGCATGTTGAAGATGGACCTTGTATACAAAATGGAAACTGTGGTGTCAGATTTTAAGCAAACGTCCTTCAGTGATGTAAGACGATGTATGGTCCAACCCGAAATGGAACTCACCTTTTTTATAAGTAATTACTATTGACCGCAATTGCCCAAAAGCATCACGCTTGTTGTGATTGAAAAAAAGGCTGAGAGCCTTTACAGAAGTCAAAATAAGGCCATGAACATGATTATCCACTTCAAAGGTGATTGTGCCAAAGAAAAAATTGAGCTCGGAATTAATTCAACATGATTCAAAATGGCGATAAATATTGTAAAGAAATTTGAGCTCACAGTGCTCTATGATTTATATAGAAGCGCATAGCTCGTGTTATGTAATTTTTAAGCTTTTTTGGATCATGATCAGAAACAAGGTACAACGTTATTCTCTTTGAATTGCGTAAATATCCGAATTCTGTAAGGATTAATGCAGTGTTAATAATACATCGTATGCTGGAAGGTATACTGTTACTTCGTCGGCTAAAATCACAAACTTCATAAATAAATCATCATTTGTAGTCTGATTATTACCATAAGAAAGAAATTACCTTCCTCTGAAGCGTATGTTTAAAATTTCATAATGCCTTTTTACCTAGTTGATTGAGAAGGACTAGCAAAATATTGGCAGAGAAGGTTACGAGGAACGTGTATGTAATCACTTATACGTCCTCTTTGAGCATTCATGACTCGTGCGTAATGTGAGATCACATATAGTAGAAAGGGGAAATAAAAGCAAACATAAATTAGTCAACCAAGAAAAGAGCACGAGAATAGCTTAAAATACAATGTCATGATTCTTATAAGCCCATTTCAGTTTAAAGAAACTGTAGACTGGTGATTTTTTTTTTTTTTTTTCTGATTACGAAATAAAAATACAGATTACGAAATAAAAATATATCACTCAGGTGGGGTTTTAAATTTCCTGTATAGCTCCTTCGTATTTAGTGCGTTTCATTTTCACCTGCTATTTTGAGATTGCTTTTTTTTCCTTTTCGTTTTCTTTTTTCTTTTTCTTTTTTAATTTTTTTTTATCTTTATGCTCAAGATGTGAAGGTGGATATTGAATAATGCAACCAAAAATACTTCAGCCGTAGCATAGCCAGTCGTTCAACCTGCCTATACTTTGCGTGGTTAATCGCATGCAGTTATGTGGAGTTGGACATCCGTAATCGAAGCCCAGCAGCGTATAATAAAGACCAGATTAGTGTCAGCTATTCACTCAGGTTCATGCAAACTCGTAGGCTGGAAGAATAATTTCTTTTTAATCATTTTCAAATAGTCCCCGTAAGGGCCTTCTCGCATGCGACGTAAATATCTCCAGGACATGAAAATTGTAATTTATATATGTGTTTTTTCTTTATTACTTTTTACAGTATTGCCACTTCATATCCATCTAGAGTGAAAGTTGATTTATACATGTTTTTGTCCTACGCACTTTTGAAACAAAAAGAACACTGCTAGCCTCGTTATTATTAATTTACATGGCTTACTCTTATTGCCAACACAAAAATGAGCCTATCAGCAAGCAGTACCTACTGGTTTCACAAGAGTCCATCAATCAAACTTGAGTCATTTGATTCTGTTTCATATATGAATAACTGACTACAGAGTACAGTTTTTGCATCTGAATTTACTACCAGCTGTGCAAAGCTCTAGATTCACCTCCCTTAAAGGTATGTAGCCTCTATAACTGGTTGTGATAAGAAGAACAAGTTATATGCGGTTGAAATCAACTAGGCAGGTATGGAAGAGTAGGTGAACTAGAAACGCTTTAAGAGTTTGTACTTGAATCGCGTATATTTTTGTAACCAAACAGCCTTAAAAAAAAGATTTTTGATATTGCTTGCCGTTTTTCAGCGCAAACCTGGGCGAAACACTGTCTGATTAGCCATTGCCTCAAGAGAAACCATAGGAAACAATATTTCAGTAGCAACGCCAACTATACTATTAGCACAGATATCTCCGTTCATGTTTTCTAGGAGAAATAAATAATTTCTTGCAGCTGATGGGAGCTGTCCCCCACATGTTGCAAGTCAGCTCTTTTCTAGTCAGAATCGATTGTTCAATTAGTTAAGAGTCCAAATGGCGTAAAGCACTCAGGACATGTCTTTCCCTCGATGTACGGCAATGTTGTATTTTCTTGAAATTCGAAGGTTTTTCATAACAACTAGTGCACAAAATTGTTAGCTTATGTCATGCATTGGTGTTTTGCTCAAAAGAGCTGGTTATTCTGAAAATCCTTTGATAAAGGAGAAACGATTGTGTATTGGTTAGCTTGCTAGATTCTGAATCAGTGGAAGCGTGTGTGTTTGAGTCCTGGCTGGTGTACTAGCAAAGTGTCACAGAAACATGTCAAAATGTTGAAAGGCTGCCTTCGATGAATTAGCATGTCAATTTATCTCGGAGGAGTAGAATCACTCTTAGTCTCTTCGCACAACAGGAACCCCGATGAGCTCCGCAGGGGATGTCAAGGTTGGGCTGGCAACTTAACCACGGCTCATGATACGATCGCCACACAAAGCTGTCAATTTGCTAATTTACTGATAAGGCAGAGCGCTCGGGGCTTTCAAAAATAAGTAAAATCTTTAGACTTCTGGCCCTTAATTAAAGGCAATGAGAGATTCAAGTAAATTTACAGACATTAAAAAATATAGGGAAAGATGCTTTTTCGTCTTGTCATGAGTGTGGGACAAAGAACTAAAACTTCTGAGTCTCCATGAGAAATCAAATCTCAGACTTTCTGGTGCCGCGTTCCGATGCCCTACCATTGAACCACAGAGACTCTATGATGAGCAAAGGCCATTTTGATGATAAATTAAAAAAAAAAATCTTTGGAAAACCATTTTCTCCAATAAATGTTCATTTTCATGACTCGTCGTTTCATTTTCAAAAGTACCATACTAAAGCATTTTCAATCACCGTTGGAATTTCAGTTTTATTGTTAGCTCTTCGGGAAAGCATCACCATCGATGACATTGTCATTTACAATTTTTTGAAATTCAACACTAGCTTGCACGTTATCATCGAAGTTTGTGGTCAAACCTCAGTTATGCAATGTTTCGCGGTTTAGACAACACGCCTTACATGTCCGCAGCTGCAATGATCTTTGTCTTTCGCCGGCTTAAGATTCTCAGAGCTAACTGATATATATATATATATATATATATATATATATATATATATATATATATATAACTAACTGCAGACAGTACTGTTTCGGCCTTCTGGGCCTCATCAGTGCAGTGCTAATGCTAGGATGGAGGAGAACCAATATGGTCACCCCAAACGATCCAACCTTTGTGGTATCGTCTAAGCCATGCCAGAGTGCTCAAACTAGAGTAAACCAGCGAGCATGCGCAATTGCAACGGCAATGACTCATCCTAGATAGAGTGCTCAATTTGGACATGAAAGCAAAGCTTTGTATGCCAAAGAGCTATATCTAACTGCAGACAGTACTGTTTCGGCCTTCTGGGCCTCATCAGTGCAGTGCTAATGCTAGGATGGAGGAGAACCAATATGGTCACCCCAAACGATCCAACCTTTGTGGTATCGTCTAAGCCATGCCAGAGTGCTCAAACTAGAGTACACTAGCGAGCATGCGCAATTGCAGAGCAATGACTCATCCTAGTTAGAGTGCTCAATTTGGACATGAAAGCAAAGCTTTGTATGCCAAAGAGCTATATCTAACTGCAGACAGTACTGTTTCGGCCTTCTGGGCCTCATCAGTGCAGTGCTAATGCTAGGATGGAGGAGAACCAATATGGTCACCCCAAACGATCCAACCTTTGTGGTATCGTCTAAGCCATGCCAGAGTGCTCAAACTAGAGTAAACCAGCGAGCATGCGCAATTGCAACGGCAATGACTCATCCTAGATAGAGTGCTCAATTTGGACATGAAAGCAAAGCTTTGTATGCCAAAGAGCTATATCTAACTGCAGACAGTACTGTTTCGGCCTTCTGGGCCTCATCAGTGCAGTGCTAATGCTAGGATGGAGGAGAACCAATATGGTCACCCCAAACGATCCAACCTTTGTGGTATCGTCTAAGCCATGCCAGAGTGCTCAAACTAGAGTACACTAGCGAGCATGCGCAATTGCAGAGCAATGACTCATCCTAGTTAGAGTGCTCAATTTGGACATGAAAGCAAAGCTTTGTATGCCAAAGAGCTATATCTAACTGCAGACAGTACTGTTTCGGCCTTCTGGGCCTCATCAGTGCAGTGCTAATGCTAGGATGGAGGAGAACCAATATGGTCACCCCAAACGATCCAACCTTTGTGGTATCGTCTAAGCCATGCCAGAGTGCTCAAACTAGAGTACACTAGCGAGCATGCGCAATTGCAGAGCAATGACTCATCCTAGTTAGAGTGCTCAATTTGGNGTTGCAGGGCAGTTTTTTTGATAGGATGCGCCAGGTGATGGAATAATTGATGTTGTTGTCTTTAAGTGTTTTTTTTTGTTTCCTGAGTTCTGTGGAGTTGCGGTGTTTTGCGTGTCGGAATGATGAGGTGTGGTTGTTGTAGCGCGACTTAAAGTCGTTTGCAGTGAGCCCGATGTATGTGTCTTTTTTTCTGTTGTCTTTACGTGTAATGGTAGCTTGGTATATGAAACATTGTTGGAGTTTTTTTCCGTCTAGAGGGCACGAGTTTTTCTGTCGGCAGTTGCAACCATACGCTTTTTTTTTTGCGGGAGTGGAGTTTCGTGTTTTGCCTCGCGTGTTGGTGTGCTTGCTTGTTTTTTTTGGTCGAACGCATCTCCCTAATCTTTGATTATTACTAGTTGAACAAATTAAACGTTAGCTGATCATAACATGAACATTTCTTCGTGAAAATGGCATTCTTCAAAGATGTTTTTTTTCGCCCGACAACCAGCCTGAGGTTTTCATTCATGTCAATGAAGGGTAAAAGATGAAAGTGCAGTCACCTGCACCTCGTTTGGCAGCCATTGTTTTCTTTTCTTTTTCATTTTTTTTTCTAATCTCATTTAACTTAAAAACACTGCGGTATAGTTGTCTCATCTCCAATTACTAAAGCATGATAAATGGAGAACTGTAAGTTGCTGGGAAAGACAACAGTGGATGAAACTGCCGAACTAATATTATATGAAATATTTTTTAGATGTTAGAATTGAGAAAAAAGTGTATCCTGAAAATCCTTTGTAAAGAGAGAGAGAGAGAGAAAAAGAGGGAAGGTTTTTTTACACTCATTTTACTTCTAAGGTGAAAGGAATAATTTTTATTTTCAATTTTTTTTTTTCTCGAAGATGATTTGTTTACCACGACAAATGGTTCTGAAACGATTAAGGGGTACAAAATCAGTTCTATGAGGGACAAGAATATCGTTTGGCTTTCCTTTTTTCAGAAATTCGTCAGCGATACGCTTTTTTTCATGTCTGATACCATTTGATAAATAATACAATTCGAAAAGACTACATTTTTATCAGAAAAGAAAGCTTTAATACTCATGCATCATCTTCATTGACTACTTTTACTCGTCTTACCGTTCAGGTCCAGGGTTTTGGAAGTTGGTCTTTTGCTAGTAATGGAAAAAAAAATTATTTTCGTAAAGAAACGGGTTATTATTGCGCTATGTTTTTTTGATTTTTTGGGCTAAAATGTCTTCTGGCTGTTGGGCTTAATGCAAGAAAGTTTTTTTAAAACATCTGCTACAGTAAAAACTATACGTATGATGCACGATCCTCGCAGTTTTTTTCGCTATTTATGCACTAGTATCGCAGAGGTCAGTGGTTCGAATCCCGTACATTTTTTTTTTTTTTCAGGTCTGATTTTCGCTATTGCTTAAATAGCGCTATCTACTGCTTTTTTTGTGCATCATACGTATCTAATACCGCAGTTCAAAATATATGAACTTCATATTTTTTTTGTAAGTAAAAACTATGTTATGGCAAGTTAAGTCCACCAGGCGCTGCTTTTTTATCTCACACACCTTTTTGAAGGAACTTTAATCACCTGTAACATTTTCAGACTGGCCAAATTGTAAAATATCTCATATTAAGTTCTTCTCATCTCCCGTAAGGTACTCATTATGTGCACGTTTTAACAGATTTATCTAAATGTAAGTCAGGAAATTTAGTCAAGATTTCTGGAACATCGCGCTCAATCTTTGTCGGAAGTTAAAAGAAAACTTGACTTTATCTAGTTTAAAACATGTTGAGCATATCGCACTGTACTATAGAGAGGGGCTGCGGGAGGATTTCTTTTTTTTAGGTTCAATTTTTTTTTTTTGACGGACACAGCTAGTAAGTTCGTGTAATCTTTTTTTAATGCGCGATCGAGCTTCATGCAACGCTGATGACATGTGTAAACAAATATTAAGGCATAGCGGAGGCAACTCTTCGAATTGTGAAGCACTTTGTTAGGAGACTGCTCGAGAAAGTAGACTTGCTTTAGTTTGCCACTCGAGAGACTCTTATGCAACTCGCATGCATCTTTCGTGCTCTCGTAAGTTTCCGGATGCGTGATATCTTGATAAACTTACACTGAAGCAGAACCAATTGTTAATCCTGTTATAAACGCGTACCACCTATCTCCATTACGTAACACTTATCAGACTTCACTTTAACATATTTCAAGGACTTCAAGTCAAATATGGAGGATGTCAATTCCTGATACCCTTGAAATCCTAGCAGTAGTTACTCACCACTGAGGTCCTTTCAATCTATCTCTGTTCTTACTATCATTTTAGTTCCTCAATCTGTTTTACAGAGAAGGGAAATTCCCCGTCTGTGATATCACAATAACCTATTTAACAGAGCACCTATCGCTGTAATATAATCGTTACACTTGAGGTGGGCTTGTTGGGAGGGTTGCTTACTACATCTCATAATTGTACTTGTACTTGGCAGCTGTGTTCTACAGTAAGTGGACAAAAATGATCATAAATTTTTTTCAGTAGAAAATTAATTCATTTATTACATTATATAGTAATAAATCGTATATTTTTTTTAAAAGCTATCTCTCTGAGGGATAGGCATCTAGTTTTCATAGATGCAAAAATAATTGAGACATTATGGGACCGTAAACAAGATTAAATTCAAATTCGTTTGATCATGATTTTTTTAGTGTAAAACGAAGACTGCGGACTGCAAACTGCGGACTGCAGACCGGGGGTTTTTTTCAGACTGAGGGTAAAATGCAGACCGCGGACTGCAGACCAGGGGTAAAATGTTTTTTTAGGGTAAAATGCAGACTGCGGACTGCAGACCAGGGGTAAAATGAAAACTGTTTTTTTCATACCAGGGGTAAAATGCAGACTGAGGGTAAAATAAAATATCAATAATATTTTTTTAGACTTGGGAGTGTTCCTACGCGTATCCGTAATTTTTTTTCAAAATCCCGTTTTTTTAAACCAAAAGGCGTTTATTCACCTTAGTCAAACATATTATCAACCTCGAGTTCTTAAACTACCCATTTTGTTGAACCAAGTTTCCCAAAAGCACCCAAACTGATGGTAATGCTAGGCATCTTACTATTGTTTACATGTCGGCCATTTTGAATTGTGCTTTCGTGAATAGGTCTGGGACCGAGTAACTCTTTCAGCGTTCAAATTCTTCATATGGCCTTGGATTTTTTTGGAAGACAAGACAAGCAAAACACGACAGCTCAACAACAAGGCAAGGTAACTTTTTTTTATCGAGCATAGTTTGTGAAAGACATTCAATCTTTGTACTCGACTTCAATTTTTTTTGAGGTTTGTGGATTGATATTGCTGAAAGGTGACTGGGCTATCCAAACACGAAAAATCATAACATGAAGCGGCCTTTGTGTGTTTCGTGAGTCCTGACGTGACATTATTTTTTTTATACGAACACTCTTTAATTCATCCTTAAGACTGGTTTTTTTTATTCTTAATTTTTTTCCCTCAGTCTGCATTTTACCCCTGGTCTGCAGCCTGCAGTCTGCATTTTATTTTTTTTCTGCATTTTACCCCCGGTCTGCAGTCCGCAGTCTGCAGTCCGCAGTCCGTTTTTTTCGTTTTACACTGACCGATCATGATCACTCTCAGCGACAACGGCACTCAACCGTCTTGATCTGATATCCAAAATATTTCCTGTTATAAAAGGACAATTTACTTATTTTAGTACAAGATGATTGAAAGCTTACAGAACAGGATATACCGAAAGCTGAACTATAAGTTTTTTTTTAATTTGAATCCTCTTGTTCCATTAGTTCTGCGTCTTTTCAATTCTCCCTTTTTTTTGTAGTTGTTCCAGCCGAAGTCTACTATTTTTGATTTACAGTATTATTTCATTGATTTACCAAGGGAATTATTCAGAAAACCTCCTTACTTGTGGGCCTTTATGAGCCTGTTTTATTGGTATGTTACTTTTAAAGGGGGAGTGACGAGGGGCGAGGGTAGTTAGATTTTTTTCGTGACTAAGGTCAAGTTCGTTGATTGATGTCCGACTATCAGTTGCCATTTTTTTTTTTTCTTCACCAAATGAGATCAAGACAGATCAGCAATCAAAATGCATCATCTTTTTTTAGCCATTAAGAGGGTTATTCATAGACGAAGCTTCTTTCAGCATGCATATCTTTTTTTTTTTATGTAAATTATTCCGTCTGGAATATGTCTGAAAGTGCCTGTAAAAATTTTTTTATGTTTATGACGGTTCACAAGACTAAGCAAGTTTTTTATGTTTATTGGCTAAAAAATGTTGCATAATGCATTCATTTCATGGGGTGTAGCCCGTAAATGCAAGTACAAGAAAAGCCAAGCTTGTTTTTTAAGTATTCGTTAGGTGAGATCAAACCAGAACAAACGAGATTAAACTTGTCCGTGTAGGATGAAGGGAAATCACATGAAAACCTTGTAATTATTGCAGTGGAACTAAATAAATGAAGCAGCTTCAAAATGGATTACCAATAATGATCTCCATACTGAGATGAGTTAATAGCACTTGAACACGCAGACCTGAAAAATCATGCGTTGACAGCCCGGGGTCAGAAAATATAATACCTTTAATTGTGTACATTAAAGGAAAATACTTCTTCCATAGCAAACAAATTACATATGCAACAAATGCTGCACTCACCCCAGGCACTCAAAAGTAAAATGAACTTACTTTTATTTTCCTACATCGTAGGAAAGAAAAGTCGCTCTGCATGAGAGTTCATTAGAAAATTTCATGAGAAAATCCACAGTTTTGAAGAGGCGGTGATGAACAAATTACCCATACTTGCCAACTTCCTAATGATCAAAATAATCACGTCAAACTGTGTTTAGGTAGGATAAAGCGAATCCTGCATTACAATTGGTTATCCCAGCAGGGAAGAGGAAACTATTTTATTCTACTAGAATCATAAGGGATCTTTTTTGGTAAAAAGAAAAAGAAAAGAATCGCTTGAAACCGGTTTGCAGAATTTACAGCTCCTTTTGCAACTTCTTTGTCTACAACAACCGCACATCTGATACAAATAGAATAAAAGAAAAAAAAGATTCGCCGATTTCTTTCGCAACAGAGCACGATTCATTTTGCTGTTATTATTTGGTCACGAATAAAGCCTATTTGGACTAAAAATAAAGTAAATTGGCCGTACGTATCCAACATTTTGGACGACAAGCTTCGTTTATAACGGATATATGATTATTGCTTGCGAAGATAACTTTTACGATTGATCATTTCACGTGAAAAATATTTTCACTAAGTAGAAAACCACCGCTGTTCAAGTTGCTTTTTGTTAT